AGGCCCTTGGCTTGCCAGGGAAGCGCTTATTCCACTTAGCCATCTCCCTGGCCTCAAGAACATCTTAATAAAAAAATTTCTATGACCAGTATCACTGGTACTGTGGCCAGAGTGGCTGCTTATTCACTTAGAGATGAGCTTTTTTCACTTACTAGAATAGATGAATTTGGTTTTTTGCCAGCCCCTATGCTATCTACCAGCTTCCCCTTTCCTCACCTCAGACTGGCAGAAATCTCTACTAACATTTAAACTGTGCATGTAAGTTGGAAGATGCGTGAGAGGACAGCAGCAGGTTGTCAGCGAGCAGGTTGCAGGCCTCTCTGCAGCCCACGTGTGCCCTCGAATTTGCACTCACTCCAGGCTGGTTGATTAAACTGCTCCCTCCAGCTAGCAGGGGTCAGTCTACAGGGACATGTTTGATGTTCTGATCATTCACAGGAGATTGTTCCACCTTTAAGTGGAGAATTAATAGTCCTTTGCAGGGGGGCTGGGCTGGATTCTAACTCTGACTCCCACTAGCTTCAGAGCCTTCCCTACCAGGAGCCTGAAGACTGTGCACACTGTCCTAGCCTTGCAGAGGGAGGTGTAACTGGTGTCCCCTCATGGTGAGGGTGGTGACACAGCCCATCAAGACACTGTCCTGAGTGCCTCTTGGGCCTTGCTGTTTCAACAGAGGCGACGATGAGACACTGCACAAGAATAATGCACTGAAAGTTGTGCGAGAGCTGCAGGCCCAAATTGCTGAACTTCAGGAAGACTTTGAGTCTGAGAAGGCTTCACGGAACAAGGCAGAGAAGCAGAAAAGGGACTTGAGTGAGGAGTTGGAAGCTCTGAAGACAGAACTGGAGGATACTCTGGACACCACAGCGGCCCAGCAGGAACTGCGGTGAGTGTGGAAATGGGCCACCATGTGCTGTCTGCAGGCTCTCTGGTGCCACTTGGGGACACGGTAGATTTTCTGTAACATGCCATTCTTAGTAAGATGCCATTCTGAGCATCCTTCCTCCTGGCATTGGAACAGCAGTGAACGAGCAGAGAAACAAGGCAGCCAGTAGGCACAGACACCTGCCCTGTCCAGTAGAATGAGATGTGGCCAGAAAGTTCTGGCCAGTAGCAGGTGTCAGGGTAGGACAGAGGGACAGAGACATCTGGAAAGAGGCTTATGAGGAAGAGAGATGCAATAAGCACCAACTAGCTGCATCAGGCATCTGCCAGCATTGTGGACAGTGGCAGGGGAGCAAGGAGGTGTGCAGGCACAGAGGCAGGAAGAGGGCTGAGTGCAGGTGCTTAGGCAGGTGCATGCAGGGCCAGGTGCAGGCCTGCAATGACCGCAGAGGGCAGGCAGAGTGCACGGTGCACATCAGGCTCAGAAAGTGGCAGTGCACAGATGAGGCAGGTGTCCTCACAGCAGGGCTGCAATCATGGAAAGAGGTGAGGGGCAAGAAGGTTCGGCTCCTGCTTGGCCTCTTGGGAGCATCTCCTCCCTGCTCCACCCAGAAATCCCAGCCAGGAGGGCAGCCCTGCTGGCCACTTGGGCTCTGAGTGAGAGGAGAGTAACCCATTGCTTGGGGAGGTACCAAGGGCTGGAGTAAAGCAAGGACAGAGAAGGTCATGGAGAAGAAAGGTGACTCAGGTAGAAAAAAGCTCAGGGCAAGCGGGAGGACAAGGTGTTTGGTGAAAGCCAGGCTCTTCCGTGGATAGCCAGGGAACAGTCATCTGGGTCCGCCCAGCAGCTGGAAACCTATGTGTGGACAGAATGACATTATGGTCACTACAGAGCAGTGCGACCAAGATCAGATCAGTTTCCAGAGCACTAAGGGGTGGGGAAGCGTGGGGAGCTTCCTGCTATGTGTGAGGATTCTGGCCATGAACATGCACCTCTGCCGCAGCAGCTCGGCTGACGGGTGGTGTTCCCAGCCCTGTTTCCCAAGCTGATGGTCGGAGCCCATCTGAACCAGACCGCTGGAGGCTTCCTCTCCATTCAGAAGTTTTAGCAGCTTTCAGTACTGGTCTTCCTTTCAAAAGATTTGCAGGTGTAAAAATCTAGAAACCATTGAACTAAGTTTTAGGGGCTTTGGATCAAGCAGAAGAAAGGTTCTGATTATTTTTCCACTGAAATCTTTAAGAAAAAAACAGCTGGGTTAGACTCGGTCCTTGCCTCTCACCTCTGGAGCCCTGTGTTTGGTCCCATGGACCATAGGAAGGAAAAGTGCTGTGATATGTGCATGTGCTGAACTGCAGAGCTCATCCTGTTTGCTGAAGAATTTGGTCACTTGTAGCTCAGGTGTGTGCTAGCCTTGCTGAGAACTTACCTGCATCTGGTTCTTCCCTGAGTTGTACATCACATGGCTAGCATAAAAATAATGGTACTGCCCAGGCGTGGTGGCACATGACTAGAAGTCCAGTGCTCTGGGAGCCTGAGGCAGGAGGATCCCAAGTTCAAGCCCTGCTTAGCCACTTCTTGAGTCCATATGTCGAAAGAAAAAGAACTGGGAGAGTTGCTCAGTGTGAAGACCCGGGATTCAATCCCTAGAACCAGAAAAGAGAGTTAAACTCTCTTCTGCATTGTCAGTCTCTCTAGGAGTTAGGAGAGACTACAAGGAATTGGGTTGTTGAGCCAGGGGAGAAAAAGGTGAAAGATCTCTTTGACTCTTGTTCAAGGGGTGATCAAGAGCAAAAACCAGGAGCCAGCCTGATAGCTCAGCGGACTAAAGTGCCTGCTTATGCAGAGCACAGTGGCTGGAGTTTGATCCCCGCCCCTGGGGCGCCCTGAGCCAGTGATTGAGACTGGGCATGGTGGCACACGCCTGTATTCCCAGCACCTGGGAAGCTACAAACAGAAGAATCACTGAGTCCGATCTCCACAGTGGGACCCTGTACACCCTATAGACCCTGTCCTAAATACGGGGGGTGGGGGGGAGCAAACACCCAAGAGGGAATGAGTAGGCAGGGAGATTGCATGGAAGTGTGGTGAATAAAAACACTAGGATGAACTGAAGTGATCTTGATGGACACCAGGCAGAGGCAGGCCTGACGACCAGCCGAGCCAGGGAAACGCGTGGCAGAGCTGGGCTGAACCACAAAGACTCTTCAGTAATTCCTTGCGTCTGGGCAACATATGACCACAGAGCTGGCAGCCATGGCAGCCTTTTCTCTTGGGAGTGATCTCAGCCTTCAGGATCTCACAGTTCTTCTTGAAAGGGGAGAAAATGTGTCTATGGAGGGACCAGTATTTTAAAGTATAGAGCAAGTTTGCCAGCAATATGCTTCAGGATTATTACGAGGTTACAGCTAATGAAACGGTGGTAAACAGTCTTAGCAGGAGTGGTACTGTGTTGGCCTTACTGTTGTCTGTATTGTTTTGGGTTTTTCCCTTTTGGTGCTCAGGATGGAGCTCATGGCTTGAGGCACACCAGGCCTTGGTGTCAGTCTCTTAGATTTAGTGCTTAAATGGTGCTCAATTGACAGTCCTAAGGAATGACTTGGGATTACGTGGTAGCTGGATTACTGATTCATGTTAGTAAAATAACTTGACTCAAGTTACTCAGCATCGATAGTAGATAATTATAAAATATTAGGAAGCCATGCAGAAGTATGGCTGATGTGTAACACTGCTATGATTCTGTGCTTTACGTGGAGGTTAGATAGAACCTGAGTTTTATTCAGAACATCCACATCTCTTATCTTGCTCTTATCAAACACCAGAGAGCCTTTCTGAGCCATGAGTGTCACCTTGCAACCTGCCTTCTCTGCTCCGCTCCCGCTCCCACTTCCTCTCCGTGTGCCCTAACCTTAGCCTCTTGGGATTACCCTTCTCCTGGGCCTGTTGAAATCTGCCAGGGCTGGGGCCAGCAGGTTGGCATCTTGTGTTAAGCGATTCCTCACCCACGGTGAATCCAGACAGCCCAGAACAATCTGAAGAGCCTTAAAGATACCAGGTGTGGAAGTCGCGCTGGTTCCAGGGGGGTTTGTAGCCATATAGTGATGGGCTCCCGCTTCCTGGGGAGCTGAGTCTGATGTTTATCAAAAGAATTGCTCTAAGAGTTAAAACAAAAATAGCACTTTTAAAAAATGTTAGTTGACTAATTCTGCCCTTTGTTCTATAAAAATGTTTCTTTAGCACCAAACGGGAACAGGAGGTGGCAGAGCTGAAGAAGGCTCTTGAGGAAGAAACTAAAAACCATGAAGCTCAAATCCAGGACATGAGACAGAGACACGCGACAGCCCTGGAGGAGCTCTCGGAGCAGCTGGAGCAGGCCAAGAGGGTAAGGGCAGAGAGCTCCTGGCCTCTGCGCAGCAGCCCACAGCTCACAGGGGGTAGCTGCGTCCAAAAAGCACCCCTCCTTAGGAAGGCCTTGTGCCTTGGATGGTCTCTTTAAAGAACAGGCTGGCTCCAGCTACCACCCCACATCACACGCTTCCCCAGCCCTGGTAGCCTTCTGCCGTGGCTCAGTGCTCAGCCCCTAGTGGTTTCACAGTCATTCTTCTCTCGCATCTGCTGCCAGGAAGTCGTAGCCGTGTGCGTGTTCCCTCTAGCGTGTTCCTCGTGTCTCCCTGCGCCCCGCAGCCCCCGGCTCCTCCCACCCCTGTGCACCATGCCGTTTCCTCATTTCCCAGTCAGCCTTTCCCTCGCACCTGTTCTGTCTGCGTTCCTTGCCTTTCTCTTCTCCACCTGGCCACATGCCAGCCACCTTTTAACAAAGGTGATGACTGTTAATGTGTACTGTGACACGAATGTGGGGCAGGCATTGTGCCGAGTTCTCTGCGAGCTCTGCCTCTTTCATCTTCGTACAGCCTCAAGGAGCACTCAGTATCTTTCATGTAAAGGGAAAGGCTGGGGAGATAGCTCAATGGTCTGGGCTCCTGCCTGGCAAGCACAAGGACTTGGGTTCAATCCCTGGTACTTCATGCCAACCTAGCCACCAAAACTGAGTGTGGTGGTGCACACCTGTAACCCCAGTGCTGGGGAGGCTGAGACGAGGATCATTGTGAGTCCAAGCTACATAGCAAGACCCTATACCAAGTAAATAAATACATACATACATATTTTTTTTAAAAAATAAGGGTGAAAAAAGAGGCCCAGCAGTGTAAGGTAACTAAGCAGGGCCGCATAGCTAGCAAGAGAGATAGACTGAGCAGGGCAGTCCTTAGAGACCTACCTTAGTCCTTAGAGACCCTCACTGCCGTGACCACCTCACACAAGTGTATGGGGGCATGTGCAAAGTTGCCACGCATTCATTTCAACAAATACTGCCTACAGGCTTACTCTGTGTCAGGCATATTGCTGCAGACAGGCCAGAAAGCTTTTTATTGAATTTTTTCAAATAACCCATTGCTGTCCCCAACCCCTTCCTAGTTCAAGGCGAATCTGGAGAAGAACAAGCAGGGGCTTGAAACAGACAACAAGGAGCTGGCGTGTGAGGTAAAGGTGCTGCAGCAGGTCAAGGCGGAGTCTGAGCACAAGAGGAAGAAGCTCGACGCCCAGGTCCAGGAGCTCCATGCCAAGGTCTCAGAAGGAGACAGGCTTAGGGTGGAGCTGGCCGAGAAGGCAAACAAGCTGCAGGTAAGCTGGAGCACCAGGGTTCTGGGGGCAGCTGTGCTGGGCACACCGGGCACATGCTGCCAGGCCTGTGGCACAGGCTATATGTAGGTAATCCTCTGTGGCAGGGCTGCACTGTGGTGAGCTGTTGGTGTCCGGGAAACACATTAGGCACCCCATGCCCAGGTTGTTGTCGGGGCTGGCACAGAAGCCCCTGCCAGGCACATCCCAAGTCCAGACTCCAGAGAAAAGCAGGTGTGCATGTGCCTGTTGGCACCAGCAGGCACAGTGAGCCACACCTGCCCCTCGGAAGTCTCCATGCTGTGGGGTGAGCTGAGCATATATCCGCATGTACACATGGGGAAAGATCTTCCGAAGTAGAAGATCTTACAGTGCTAGCAACTCGGGACAGGATGGAAGCATGGAGTGACCCTTGGCAGGCCTGAGCCGTACCAGGTGTATGGCGGGGCCTGTGCGCATGGTTCCTCTATTGTGTCTTCATCCCACCCTGAGTAGGAGATAAGGACCTGAGAAGGGCCTCCCTCCCTCTGGGGACCAGCTGTCTACTGGCAGTGCTTGGGCTGAAGGCAGGTGGTCTCTCCCACTCCAGATCCTGTTCCCCACCACTTTCCCAGGCTCCCACGGTGAGCTCTCTGGAGTCCACCACAGCTTTGCTAACAGACAGAGCACAAGTGACAACAAAGGCCACCCTCCTATCCCTTCTGAGTCTTCCCACTTCTTTCCATACTCACTGTCCTCACAGAATAATTACAAAATACACCACGGGGAACTTTCTGGAAGATATTTTAGAGCTATCCTTAACTAAGGGTAAAAAGGAAAAAAACAGGACAACATACCTTCTGGAATCTGCGTGTAAGAAAATTAAGTATTTATGGCAAACATTCAAACCAAATTCTTTGAAGCTTAAAGAACTTTTAACTGAATACTAGAATTAAAATTTCTGAGTCCCTAAAATAGTTTTCAAGTCCTGTAAGAATATGAATTATGTTTAATCACAAAGCATAAGCGTAATGCATCTTGGTGTGGAAAGGAATAAAGTGAAACATCTGCCGGCCTCACAGCCTCTTCACAGAGGACAGCTGTCACCCCCTCACAGGATTGGCTGTCAGCTGTTTCTTAATGGTGAAAGGAGGGCCAGGTGGTGCCACCCTTCTGTCACTGCCACCCTTCCTGTCCTTTCAGTAGGAAGTGACACTGAGATGTTCTGGAGCAGCCATTACTACCCATTTGAGCCCTGTCTAGAGACAACCAACTCTGCACAGTGTCTGTTGAAATTGTAAAAAATTTATCACAGTAGAAGACACATTGCCATTAACCCCTCAAAAAGCTGCCCCTCATTCCTTACGCACTCACACACTGCTCTTGCCACCTGATGCTGTAGTTCTGGAAGTCCTCATTCGCATCTGCACTGTAGTGGCTGCTTCAGTGTCCTGAATCTATTTAAAACACTTACCTTTTGGGCTGGGGAGATGGCTCAGTGGAATAAGCGCTTCCCTGGCAAGCGCAAGGGCCTGAGTTCAATCCCCGGTTCCACCAAAAAAATAAAAATAAATAAAACACTTACCTTTCATGATCATTGACTCTGGGAAGAGTCAGAAGCCACACGGTACCAGGTCTGGTGAATAAGGTGAATGGGGACACACTGTTCTTACACACCTGCTTTTCTGTTGAATGGCTCTCAACACCCACCAAAGACTTCCAGAACTGCTTCAAAAAATTGCAAGAAGAGTGGGATAAGTGTGCTCAAAGCGTGGGGGGGGGGGTGTTATTAGCCATGTGCCTTACTGTAGTAATTTCTTTTAAATAATACTGTATTATTCTTATTATACTACACTGGTAGTAAAAGTCTCCCTTAATTGACTTCGCAGTTTTAGTTTACAGATATTGCATACACTGCTCCATTTGTGTTCTGTTTAAGGGCTGTGATTCCAAATCCTTTTTATCTACTTACTGTTGAATCAAATTTAACCTATTCCTCCTTACAGAATGAGTTGGATAATGTGTCCAGCCTCCTGGAAGAAGCAGAGAAGAAGGGTATTAAGTTTGCTAAGGACGCAGCTAGTCTGGAGTCTCAACTTCAGGATACACAGGTACGTGAGGAACGTCATTAGTGGTAACTCTTTATATAGTATACAAACTGCTGAAATCTGCCAGCTTTAGAACTGCCTTCTAGAATATCATTCATCTCTTACTAATTTCATGTCAACCTTGTATTGGAGCCATCTTGTACTGTACCTGATGACCTTGCTATCTCAGGAAATCCCCACTGAGGCTTGGTGCTGTGACACAGAACCCATACTCCTGTGTCCTGCAGCTGTGTTGGTGGCCGGAGATCCAGCTTAGGCTGACACGTGTGGCGCTGCAGACTGTGGTTTACCCAGGTGGTGGTCCTGGGTGCTGTATTAAATAAGATGGTTTTATTAGGGTTGAAGTTTCACTTTGCTGACCTAGAATTATAAATTCATTTTGTAAAAAGGTAATTTGATGCTTCCTTACCGTACAGGTCTAAGTAAATCATGTTTTAGATTTTTATATGTCAAATAAAAGTTAAAGATAATGTAGGACTGGTCAAATAGCTCAGCACAAGCACCTGCTTAGGCAGAGTACAACGGCTGGGATTTGATCCCTGGCATGTGTGTCTGCCCCGCCCCCGGGGCACACTGAGACAGCAGTTGAGACTGGGCATGGTGGCGCACGCCTGTAATCCCAATGCTTGGGAGGCTGAAAACAGGAGGATCATTACGAGTCCGATCTACATAGTGAGACCCTGTAGACCCTGTCCTAAATAAATAATGTAACATTTTTCTTGAAGTTTCACATCTTGTTTTTATTAAATTTGCAAGAACTTGTGTTTATTTGCTAGGTTTTGTGCTAGATGCTGGACATAGGGGTAAAAATCTCAGACAAACAGCAGATGGGGTAGTTAGACCACTGGGGATGAGTTCGTTGTGACTACGTTATATATGTTGTGACAAAATGCGACCTAGCTAGTAAAACCAAAGGCAGAGAGAACCAAGAGCTGGATCATGAAAACCTCCGTAAGACCTCTGAAATTTTTCTAGTATGAAAGTAACGAGAAAGACATGTTTACACTTCCACTTTAGAAGTGAAGCTGGCAGAAAGCAGGAAGCTAACTGGGGAATACCCTAGAATCCCAGGGGGCACAGCCAGAGGCCTGTCCGGAGGCTGAGTGATGGAGGGAAGGACCAAAGGAACTGACGGTGCAGGGCAGGTAGCGACGCTGGCCGCCAGCGAATGCAGCAGTGTCTAGGCTAAGAGCTTTACAGACTTATCATGTGTGCCATGGGTGTACTTAGGTCATTTGTATTTATGTCACATGGTATTTCTCATCCAATGAGGGTCATTTTTGTTTGTTTCTTTGTAGTGACATGAATTTTTTAATAGAGGATTTTTAGTTTTGGTCATACATCCTCCCCCGCCACGTGCCCAATAGGAGTCAAGTGATTAATATAACTTAATTTTCCTTAGTTTTTATAATGTGTTTATGATATACAATGATTATATTCCTTGTGAGGAGCTGGCACATGCACATAACTTAATTCATTTTACTTCCCCTCCTGTCTCCTTCCTGCCCGCTCCTGGATGTAACTGGAGTATTGACTTTTTAAACAAATACACAGGAGCTCCTTCAGGAGGAGACACGCCAGAAACTGAACCTGAGCAGCCGGATCCGGCAGCTGGAAGAGGAGAAGAACAGTCTTCAGGAGCAGCAGGAGGAGGAGGAAGAGGCCAGGAAGAACCTGGAAAAGCAGGTGTTGGCCCTGCAGCTACAGGTCAGTGTCCTCTTTAGGGAGCTGAGGTGCCCTAGATGTGTGCTGCAGGCAGCTGACATCCCTGCCGGCCGGGACTGCTTCGGGCTCCATTGGGGGCTTTAATTAGCTTGTGCTAAATTAAGCCTGTTACACATCTTTTATTTGACCCAGCCAAATGCTGGTATCTCATGCTGCTCATAATAATGGAGGTCTTTAAAGTAAAGAAAGGACTGAAGGGCCAGCCAAATAGCTCAGTGGATTAAAGTGCCTGCTTAGGCAGACACAGGGACCGGGGTTCGATATGCGGCATGCCGTGCTGGCCCCATCCCCAGGGCACACTGAGATGCGATTAAGACTGGGCATGGTGGTGTGCGTCTGTAATCCCAGTGCTTGGGAGGCTGAAAAGAGGAGAATCACTATGAGTCCTGTCTGTGTAGTGAGACCCTGTAGACCCTGTACTAAATATATTTTTAAAGAAATAAAGACAGTTTGAAAAGAAAAAAAAAATAAAAAAATAAAGACAGGACTGCAACAGCTATGGAAGGTTGCAGTCCAGCCATCACTGTATAGATTATTAGCTGAGAAATTAAGTTACAGTTGAAGATTCATTTGTTTTAAAGTCATAATGTCAATTTGTAATATTGGAAACAGGCTTTTGTATTCCTTGAGTGGAGATAGCTTGGTGGTCTAAGCACCTGCCTGGCGAGCGTAAGGACCTGGGTTCAATCCTTGGTACCCAGAACCAGGCATGGTGACACGTGCCTGTAATCTCAGCTCTGGGGAAGCTCTGAAAGGAGGATCACTATGAGTCTAAGCTGCATAACAAGACTCCGTACCAAATAAAAGATTTTTTAAACTATGTTGATGTTTTTGTTTCTCCTTACTTCTTGCCCAGTTGGCTGATACCAAGAAGAAAGTAGATGATGATTTAGGAACCATCGAGAGTTTGGAAGAAGCCAAAAAGAAGCTTCTTAAAGATGTGGAGGCTCTAAGCCAGCGCCTGGAAGAGAAGGCACTAGCGTATGATAAGCTGGAGAAGACCAAAAACCGCCTGCAGCAGGAGCTCGACGACCTGACCGTGGACCTGGACCACCAGCGCCAGATTGTCTCCAACTTGGAGAAGAAGCAGAAGAAGTTCGATCAGGTGGGCTGTCGGCATCCAGTGTCCCTCATGCGCTCCCACTGCACGTTGTTTCCATCTGGCAGGCTCTTGCTTTCGTCCTTCTGGTGTCAATGTTTATTTAAAAGCAATATGATCTTGTATAAAAACTGGAAAAGAGAAAGCAAAAGAATGAACTAAAAATTCCCAGAATCTACTGCGGCTTGAATAGCCCCTGTCCAAAATAGGACCAGAAGTATTTCAGACTTAAGAGCTTTTTCCAGATTTTGGAATATCTGTACCTACATTATTAGATATCTTGGAGAGATGAGCCCTGTGCAACATGAAATGTTTGTATCTAGTTGCTCGTGACCTGAAGGCAGTTTTCCATGATTGCTCAGTGCACCTGTGTGGTGCGTGTCCCATCGTAGGCAGGTGTGCGACTTCCCTCGTGTGGCCTCCTGGGTTCAGATCAGGGATGCCCTGCTGATCTCGGTAGCGTCCTTAGCCCGAAGCCAGACCATAGCAAATGCTATTTTTATTGTCTTAATTATGTAGCTGTTAGCAGAAGAGAAGAACATCTCTGCTCGCTATGCAGAAGAGCGGGATCGTGCAGAAGCAGAGGCTAGAGAGAAAGAAACTAAAGCCCTGTCACTGTCCCGCGCACTTGAAGAAGCCCTAGAGGCCAAGGAGGAGTTTGAGAGGCAAAACAAGCAGCTCCGGGCAGACATGGAAGACCTGATGAGCTCCAAAGACGACGTGGGGAAGAACGTAAGTCACTTCTGGCCTCAGGAAGGCAGGCCTGGGCTGTGGGGCCTTGCGGGTGAAGAGCCGGGGATACAGGCCCACCGCCAAGCTGGCTGGGAGCACCTCTGCCTGCATTAATAGGGCGCTGATGTGTTCAGAGTCAGCAGTCAGGGGGCTGCAGGCTGTTCTCCATTACCTCTGCCAGGCCCTGGCACATGGTCAGACAGTTGATTCCCCTTCTGGCAGGGGGCCTTCAACAACAGTATTTCACTGTTCTGTAGTCTGTTATTGAACAAACCTACCTATCCTGAGATCCAGTGAGTGGGAACTGTAGTCCCCTGTGACCTGCCCTTTCTAGTGAGGCTACAGCTTTTGTCTTGAAAGCTGCTGTGGGTTATGCAGGTTTGGGAAATTTCTTTTTTGAGACAGAGTCTCATTGTGTAGCCCAGGCTGGCCTTGAACTGGTGACAGTAGTCCTGCCTTAGCCTCCCAGGTGCTGGGATTACAGGCATGTACCCCCACAGTAGGCCTAGATGTTGGAAATTTCTGTAGCCTTGCTCCTCTTTCCTCTATACACATTGTGCTGGGGAGATAGTTTGGTGGCATGAGTGCCTGCCTGCCCAGCGCACGGTCCTGAGTTCAGTCCCTGGTACTATATGCCATGTTGGCCTCAAAACCCTGGACAAGCTATGCCACCCTGGAACCAGGCATGGTGGCACATGCTTGTAGACCCAGCACTAGAGAAGCTGAAACAGGAGGGATCACTATGAATCTGAACTGCATAACAAGACCCTGTATAAATCTCCTCTGTACACATCTTCTACAAGAGCCTTGATTCATTTTATTTAACCCTCAGTCCCTCCCTTAGTATATGACCCATTGAGGGTAGCAGAGCTAACTTTGACCTGGCATTCAAAAAGGATCCAGCCTGGCTCTGCCACCAGCTTCTCTTATGACCATGGGCAGCCTCTTACACTTTCTAAGCTTAAGTGTCATCTATCATATAGACATTATACTTGCCCTGTGTTAGCTGCTTTGAAAAGCATGAAGCCCCCTGTAAAGTTAAGGACTCACTTTCGGGCCACACCATAAGTGCAGAAAGACCTTCCTGCTAGGTCTCCTATATCCTGGCACCCAGGAGACCACTCCATAGTCAGGAGAGGCTTTCCAGAGCAGAATTGATCATGGTTACACAGTCAGTGCAGAGAGAGAACCCTACAGCCAGTTCCACAGTGGTTCTCTTCAGCATAATCAGCACATCCTTGTTCCACAGATGCCTTTGGTGCCCCCTGAGTGCCAGATACTGCTTAGCAAATGGCCCCACCTGTCATAAAGCTTCCTCTGCTCACCTGGGAGATCTGACATGATAGTGTGTATAGTTGGCTGCTTGAAACTCGGGCCTCCTTACCACTGACTCTTGCTTCCTGGGCCCACCCACCTTAAGGCTCACATCCGTAGGCAGGGCTTTCCATTCCAAGTGTTCTTTTCTGCAACAAGAACAGGTGAATTCTCTTGGCCATTACACAGCAGGCAAGTGGCCAGCCAGCATGCAGTTTCCTCTACTACTACTGTGTTTTCATTGTCCTTTGGCTTTACAAAGCTCTCACATAAAAGGTCATGAGAGAATGGTGATTATAGAACATGCATTAATAAAGAAGTCAGTAATGGAATTTTAAGTTGTATCTCTGAAACGAAGAGTAGCAGCCCTAGAGGGAAAGGGAAGGGTGTGCGCAGGTGTTGAAGGCCAGCTGAGGAGCATCCACAGTGGCTGTCATGCCACCTGTGGGCCCTCAAGGAGGAAGCCTGCTGTCCTTAACTTATGCCTTTGCCGAGGGTCACATCTTCTGCAATGCTTCTTGCATTCAGGTTCATGAACTTGAAAAGTCCAAACGGGCCCTAGAACAGCAGGTGGAAGAAATGAGGACCCAGCTAGAGGAGCTGGAAGATGAGCTCCAGGCCACAGAGGATGCCAAGCTCCGCCTGGAGGTCAACATGCAGGCCATGAAGGCCCAGTTCGAGAGGGACTTGCAAACCAGAGACGAGCAGAATGAAGAAAAGAAGCGGCTGCTGATCAAACAGGTGGGTGGAAGGGAGCATGGCCTCTGCAGAGGGGCTGTGCCTGTTCCCCACACCCACCAGCCTCAGGAGCCATTCACGTCAGACCCGCTAGCTGGAACAAAATTAGCTGATTTAGCCATTTGAGAACGTTATGGTAACTGGGAGAGATTTTCTTTCATACAATAAATACTGCCACAGCCTACAGTAAGCCAGGCCATTTAATCAACTGAAAAAGTCTTCAGTATAAAGATAAGAAAATGTGCATTTGGCTCAGGTTCTTTGTCTCAGAGGTGACCAGCGGAGCCGGTGGTGGCGTGCCTTGGGGCTCAGTCATTCACATCACAGGTCCTCCTTACGTCACCCTTCAAGAGAAGTTGCTAAGCACTTGTGAGCTGTAGTCTTTGTGGAATGTATATTAAAACTCCTTATTTTGTTTTTAGAAAGATTAGTTTTTAATTTTTAACCCCACACCTACTAAGTCAGAAACTGGTTATAGGAAACAGCAATCTGTGTTTCAACAAGCTTTGCAAAGTATTCTAATGTACACCGGAGCTTGAGAATTGCTGCCTCAGATTAAACTTGTAATTTAAAAGCTACCTTTTAAAGCTTAGTGTTTATGGCAACAGATCTTAGATTTGGGATGTGTTTTATTTTGCTGTTTCCATTCTGCTGACACTAACTTCATTGCATATTTATCACTGGATAACAAATTACCCCAAACTTATTGAATTAAAATGCTTACAATGCCCCAGTTTCTGAGTCCGGAATTCAGAGCAGCTGAGCAGGTGGCTGTGGCCCAACCCAGCTCTGGGCTGAGGAGCAGGGCCTAACGGCCTGAGCAGCGCAGGAGCTGGGCTGAGCCACTCGCCCCGCAGCACAGCAGGAGCCTCCGTGCTCTCCGCTCAGTCTCTGAGGGAACCTTCAGGAGAGATCCAAGAGGCGGAACGAGGCAGAAGCTGCCCTGCTCTTACAGCCTCGTCTCCCAAGTCACACTGTCACCCTGCTTTCATCCTATTCATGCCCGGACCCAAATCACATCAAGCCCCCATGCAAGAGAACATTAGACTCTAATTCTTAAAAGGAGAGCATCAAAGAAGTGTGGTCATATTTGAAAATCACTGCACTTAAAATACCATGGAAGTGGGTATACCTAAGGAGCCCCCTGTTATCCTGCCCGTAGGTGCAGACCAGCTCTCTGTCACACAAAGCTGGTGACAGGAAATTCCTCTGCCCTGCTCCTCCTCCCTGCCCCCTGCCAAGGCAGGAACAAGAGAGGCCTTGCTCTTCCCCTCGGAGAGGACCAGTGGAGTTGCGCCCTCACCCCAGGCCTCTCAGCATGACCCAGAGTGCCTCTTCCCAGAAAGTGCCAATTCCATAGCTGTCTGATCCAGGGCTTTCCACTCCTGGAAAGCACCTGTGGGAGACCCCTCAGCTGCTGGTCATGCCCATATAGCAGCAGCCCTCATGGGCCAGGAAGCCCATGTCATGGCTGCAGTGGACCCATGAGCTGAACAACAGTTTCATCTGTGGTTCTCATTTTTGGTTCATCACTGATGACTTAGGTATTAAGATTCTGTTAAAAAAACGAAAGTGCTTTTTCCCAGCCTCTCTCAAAGCCCCATCCCCACCATACGGCTAAAAGCCTGCAGAATGGAAGGCCCTGAGTGAATGCCTGCTAGGGTGCATCACTGGGTCCTGAGTCATGTCTGCATCAGTCTCCAGCTCACACTGCCTCACGTATTCATCTGCAGCCCCGTAAGGAGACACTGAGCTGGTCTTCACTCTGCCTCTTCTGTCAGACAACTTCTACTGCTTCCTTCTTTCCGATATAGTTCTGCCTGAGTCTGACACCCCCATTGTCAAGCTATGCCCACCTTTACAGACCCAGTAAGCAGCGCTGCAGCACAAGGCAGGCCTGGTCCCTCACAGATCTGGGACAGGCTCATGCCACTCTTCCCCCCCTAGGGTCTGTACGGCCCCTGCTTGCCCTCTGTGTGTTGTCTTTCTGCCTCTGTGTCACCCGGACTATGAGCTTGAGGTCAGAGCCTTTGCCTTCTTATGTCCCCTCACAGCATTCAGTGGGTATGGGAATAGTGTGTACTGGGTGTGGTTAAAAGTCCTTTGAACTAGATTCAGCTGCTGAGACTTTCTGTTAACAATGTAGACTGCTGGGTGACAGACCCCTACTATAGAGCCACAGAAGGCTGTGCCTCCCCGCAGAGCCAGAGCCTTACATGGCAACAGGCTGTAACCAGCTCTAACTCAATGCTTCCTCAGGTGCGAGAGCTCGAGGCAGAGCTAGAAGATGAGCGGAAACAGCGGGCGCTTGCTGTGGCTGCAAAGAAGAAGATGGAAATAGACCTGAAAGACCTGGAAGCTCAGATAGAAGCTGCAAACAAGGCTCGGGATGAAGTAATCAAGCAGCTTCGCAAACTTCAGGTACACACAGCAAGCCACTGGGTCAGGTAGCCCTGCTGAGATAAAGCCAGGGATAACCTGGGGAGAGCCAGGTGCTGTAGCACCCAGCCTGCCACTTTATTATGGAGCTTGGTGTGAGCTGCTGCCACTCTGCAGGGTGCAGTGCAGCTGTCCCCTGGAGCAGCAGGCCATAAAGACAGCACATAAAGATCTGTCTACAGGAAATGCTCTTTAGACAGAGTGAGCGTGGAGTCACTAGGTGGCGCATCGCTTGTGTTTAACACTGCGTGGCTGAGTCACCCAGAAAGGACGGTTGTGTGGCTTTGCTTCTTCAGTGCCATGAGCGTTATAACCTTTCAGTCTGCTGTAGCCATCACTTTTGCTACCAGGATGGCATGCCAGTTTCTCTGACACAAAGAAGAAAGGTGATCTCTACAGTCATCCCTATATGAGCACGCATGATGGACCCTCTCCTGTGCCAGGGGGCAACAAGAGGACAGCTTCGCAGGCGAGGAGGGTGATGACAGAAACTTTAGAAAATTCCGCTTCCTTTGTGATTAATCTAACAAAACATAAAGGAGGAATTCTTACATGCGTGTGCCTTAGCTGTAATGTTGACCACAAGGATGGAAATACCCAAGAGGTACCTGGGCTGCTAGCCATTTGAGTGACAGGATATGGAGGGGTGGGGGGCCGCAGGTCTTAACTGCTAAGGAGATGTGGTCTGGGGCTCGACACACAACTGTAATTTTTATATTTGGACATATAGCTAGACCTTTTAGGAAGCTGAGAAGGAAAAGTCATCTCTGGATAATAGGCTTATGAATAACTTGTTTACTTCCTTAGACTTTTCTTGGAAACCGAAGTACAAAGATTTTGGACTAGCTAATTAAAATACTAAGCTGCTTAATTACAAAGCATATAAATTATATACATTTACTTAATAGCTACTGATTGTGATGTAATTCACTTACCATACAATTAGCCAATCTGTGTTTTCAGATGTTTCGCTTATTCTAGATTATGATAAAGAACACACACACACACACACACACACACACACACACACAAAATCTAATTCATCAGAAGAAACCCTGCACTCAGCAGTAACTCTCACTCCCATTTCCCATCTTCGCCCCCAGTGCTAATCTACCAACCTATTTTGCAACTCTGTAGAGTTAGCTGTGTTGGACATTTCATTTAACATGACCATTCATACAGTATGTATGGCCTTTTGTGACTTCTTCACTTAGCATCATGCTTTCATAATTTATGTTTAGCATGAATATTTTGTTTTATGAATACATATATATGTACACATATATCACATTTTATTCAATCATTAAGTGCTGAACATTTGAATTTTATGTTTTTGGCTATGGTGAGAATGCTTATAGAAACAGTCCTGTATGTTTGTGTGGATATATGCTTTTCTGGTTTTCTTTAATACATATACCTCGGAGTACTAGGTTATATGGTAATTGTTTTTCACTTTGAGAAATTGCCAAACTATTTTCCACAGTGACTGTACTATTTTACATTCCTACATGCTGTGTGTGAGGGGTCCAGTTTCACTGTATTCTTCTCATACTTACTGTCCAGCTTTTGATAAAAGCCATTTCAGTCAGTGTGAAATGATACCTCATGGTGCTTGGATGAGCATTTTTCTAATGAATAACAATATCAAGCATCTTTTTATGTGTTTATCAGTCATTAACGATGAGGAAAAAAACTGTCTTTCAGTCCCTCTGCCCATCTTTTCAATTAAGTTGTCTTTAAAATATTCAGTTGAAACAGTTCTGTATACACTATGGATGTAAGGGTTGTTTTTTTTTTTTTTTTTTAATCACGTAAATGATTTCCAAGTACTTCTTTCCATCTGTACGTTATTTGTCCCCTTGATGTTGTTACTGCTTGTAGCACAAAAGTTTTTAATTTTCTTTTGTTCCTTTTATAGTAATGTCTGAGATTGGCTAACTTAAGAGCAAAAAGACTATTTTCTCCTAAAATTTTTATACTTTTAATTCTTCCTTTTATACTTTTAAGTCAAAAAACTTTTTTTTTTTTTTTTTTTTTTTTGTGGTACTGGGGATTGAACTCATGACCTTGCACTTGCCAGGCAAGCACTTATTCTACTGAGCTATCTCCTCAGCCCACTTTTGAAGTTTTTGATCCATTTTAAGTTCATTTTTCTTGTGTGGCTTGAGGTAC